TTCGAAGCTACACGCGCGTCTGCAAGGAAATCACTAATTAGATCGTTAAACGCAACCTCGTTAGATCCCGATAGGCATGCTCCATAACCGAACTGAAAGAGAAAGAGAGATTTTTGAATGTTTCATCAAAGTAGAAGGGAACCTTTCACGGTTCGATAGATTCCCATCGGTGAAGAATCGCGGAGGCACGGGGAACAAAGATGGCCGTTGATACCGCGGGCAGGAACGACCGTGCGTTCTGTATATTCGTTCGATTAGCATGGCGGTGCGAGTTGTTTCGCTTCCTCGTTAATAAGAGAGCCTCCCCTCCGTGTTTCTCTTCTTGCCGGACTGTAGATCCCTCGTCCTCCATCTCTCTTCTGCTCTGCTCTCCCTTTTTCATTCTTTCTTTCATCTTCTCTTACTGATACGTAATTCAAGACAGACGCATAATCTTCCCATGGCTGAGTCCAGGTAATTCTGCGGCCGCGGTAGACAATGCTTTTGCTGTCTTCTTGCGTGGGACTACCACTTCCTTGCTCGTAGACTGAGAATGCGAGGAAGGCAAGCTGTAATATTATATCCAGAAAATCACGACGTCGTTTTCACTCATCGAACACTTGTTTCGACTGAAAATGCGAGGTGATTACAAGATAATTACCTTCAAGACGACTAGTCGCGTAAATTCTTGCAGATCGCCGTACAAATTATCGAGAAAAATCGTTGTAAAGTTTAAACACCTTGTAGTAGATATTAATCCCATTACACGGACCATTGAAATAAATTACGATATAAAATCAAACTCGTTCCACCGGGTGACGGAGAGAGATCTCGTTCCCTCGGGTTATGAAACATTAATCGCCGTTGCAAGGTCTTCGCGTTCGTTGCACACGTCCACGAAGAGGATCGTTGCTGCGAGCGGGCCAAGGAGGATTCGATTGCAGCGATGTTTTCTCCGTCCTCCTTTATCCACCTCCTCGCTTTCGGGTCCATCCGTTCCTTCAATTATTTACGTCTTGATTTATTATAATCGAAGCTCAGCTCCGTTTGATCCACACCGAGGTGGGCCCGTTTTCTCTTTCTCTCACCTCTCGTCTTCCCGCCACGCTTTTGTACATTTTTACCGTGAAGAAACCCATTTTGAGAACTGCGAATTTGGGCGCAGAGATATAAAAAAATATTGTAATTATCGGCAAATAAAGGCTATGCTAATTTCCAGTGTTCTTATACTTCGCTTCACTACGAATGTGACCACAGCATCGTACGGCTTTATCGCGATATCGCGATCAAATTGGACGAGCTACCGAATTAAATTTCGCGCTCGTAAATCTCGGGCGTGGGCATCTCGTTATCTCGGCTCGATTCGCCTCGACAGAGAAGAAAAAAAAAATAAAAATCCATGGACAAAGTTATTCGCCGACTTAACCCGGCACTGTTGATAAAGGAGCTGCAACGACGAAAGGATTAACGCGCTGGTTAACGCGTATTTGCACCGGGTCTCTGAACTCTCCGTTTGACCAGCACTTTGTCTACCGTCTGCAAATTGAACGAACCAATGATCTTATCCGTGTGTCTTCGAATTTTCATTAAACATTTTCATCGACGAAGAAAACTTCTAATATTTTGCAAAAATTGCTAGAAGTTGCCAAAGGTGTACCTTTTAAAATGAAGAAGTATTTGTTTAAAAAGATTAATCACTTTTCGTGGAAAAAATTCCTAAAGACACAGGTTGTTTTGGTCCTCTTAAGTGGGCATACCTACCCCTTTACGATATTCAACTCAGCGACGAAGCGTATCTTCGGAATTCAGCAAAGTATTTATAAATTGGCCGCGTACACCTGGACACGACCACCAACGATCGTTCCCAGGTCGAAAGGGCACGGGCGACGCGTTGGACATTCGAAAAAAGTGTCTGAAGCGAGACGGAATGACGAAAAGACTCGTGGCGCGGCGGAGAAAAGGAGAAAACAGTCCATGGAGATTATTAAGCGACCGACATAAAACGTGCTTAGGTGCGATTTAATATTTCCAGCTACGGGCATAAAATCCAAGTGTATCGGGAACTCCTCGAATGGAACCAAGAGAGCGGAAGAGAGAGAGGACGTTGAAGAACGCTAAGGGACGACGAAGTTCGCTCTTTGTGACGCCGACATCTGGCGTCATCGAACGTCAACCTCCTTCTCGTTCCTTATATTTTATACGCCATGCCTCATAAAAAAGCTTTCTCGACCTCCTTCGTCGAAAAGCGTTCGACCGATCCTTACCCTCTTTATTTCTACTGACCCGCTTTCGTGCATCGTGACTGTGGAGCGTGGGCTCCACCTCCATCGCCTCACCTTTTAACCCCCTTCGAACCAACGAATGATCATAATTAAATAATTATTGCAATTTCTCTACGTTTCCTCTGAATAATAAAACATTGCTAAGATGGATCACGATCGATCCAAGTTTCCACGAAAGTTTCGTAATACACGAGCCTTTATGATTCCCTGAAACTATTATAGCTACGAAGCTTAATCATCTCCCGAACGAATCGTTTACTATCCTGATGGATTTCCTCGAGGACAAAGAGACGAAGCTGAAGCTGTTCCCCGAAGGTGACGAGAACGCTTCGTCGCGTAAGGGGATGGAGAAAGACGTTGGAAGAAGATTCTTTCGTTAACAGACAGGAGGAGAAGGGGAAATCGCTTGAAAAACGTCAACGATTCCTCTGGCTCGCTCAAAGGACACCGAATGGACGCGTGGAAAAGCTCATTCGGATTAGGGGTTGACCAAGGGAAGGGAAGTCCTCTTCTTTTTCCTCGAACCCGATATCACTGGGATAAAGCCGATTGATTTAGACCCGAATAATGGGTATTGGCAGATTGTGCACGTAATTTTTCATTCACAAAATAAATTGGTGAATGCACCATTTGATTACGTTGCAATCGACTATCAAGGTGTTAATCGTAACATTATAAAGAAGAATTGGAACAAGGCGTTCGACCAACAAAAACAGATTCCTAACGGCGTTTCAGATCTCGAAGGATTTATTTTTCCAGCGGTACAAGAGGGAAACCGTGTCGCTTCCGTGTTGGATGCAGGGCACGGACATAAAATTCACGGGTGCCAAGTGGAGCAGGCTGATTACTCATAAATCAGCCGAACGGAAGAGACGTTTGCCTTCGTTTTGTCTTATTATTTATCGATCTTAGATTCGTCGATTTTCTTCTTCCCTCTTTGTGGACAATTGGATACCTGCGTACCCACTTCTATGCTTCGGAAGCTAACTCGTCTTTCGCTTGCTTCCATTGAGTGGTCAAGTCAAAGTGGTTCGCGGAAACATGGACAGAGCATTCGAGGAACCGCATCGTCTTGACCTCGACAACAAGGCACGACGCATTATTTAAGGCTGCACCCGTTTCCGTTTCCCACTCGAGACGCACCCTTATAAAAGCCTTTACGACCGGAAGTTGATCCTGTGCCCGCGTGGGCGCAGGAGATAGGTGTATGCGGGTGTACGTAAATTAATTAGTCTTCTCGTGAAATTCTTCAATTTCTGCAGTCGATAAATGCCCGTTTCTTCGAAGATCGTTAAACGCGGAAGGCGTCGAAACTCGCTGACGCGTCGATCGATGAATCGATGCGGCTGATAAATTGATCGGACGATCGCAACAGCTTTTCAACGAAGTACGCGACGATGGTGTACTAACGATGGTTAATCGTCGGAGCGATAAAAGCTTGCAACCGTATCGCGTGTAAGTCGCGAAGAGTAGATCGTGGAGGACGCGAAGGGCTCGCGCGTACATCGATCATCCGGCGCGGGTCGTCGCGTCCCTCCTCTGCTCGCAGGGACGAAAGTAACCCGATCAACGTCGGCCGTATCAAGAATTATTATTCACCGGGGCCCGTCAGTCGACGAGAAGAAGAGGGCGGGGCCCGCGAAGCATGCATCATCCAGAGCAAATTCCGTTCGTCTCTCTTTATTTTACCAACGGATAGGGGAAAAAGATACGCGAGTGAAAAGGAGGAAGGAACGAGAGAAACGAACGAGAGGAAACGAGAAGAAGACCGAAGCCCGTTTTCTTACCAGATCTTCACGTGGCTGCCGTCAGTCCGCTTAACTGTAGATCAATCAATATACGCTGGTTGAACCCTCGGACTTTTATTCTCATCTTCGTTCCACCGTCGTCCTACTCGCGCACTCTTTCTTTATCCGACCTTTTACCTACGTCCTCTCCCTCCGGCGTGCCCCTAACGAGCTCATCGCTCGTATAGGCAAAGAAAAAACACGAGAAAGTGGTACAAAATGACCCTTGAGAAATGCCGTTCATCCGTTCGCGTTCGTTTGTCCAGTCGCTCGTTCCACTCGGTTCGGGAACCGTGCAAGGGTGGATGAGATCCAGCTAGGGCGTTGCCATGAAAACGTAACAAATAAGCGAGCTGTGATAGCGGCCATTTTGGTGAACGATTGCGCGCATTCCAAGCTTACTATTGCAAAACTAGAATATTTTCTATCAAGAAATCTCCGTTTTCGATCCAGCCGAATCCTTCAATTCGACGAGAGAATGTGAACGGAGACAAAAAGGGCGACGGTGAAAGGTAGAGGTAAAAAAGAAAGGGGCTGGTATTATAAAAGCAATTAGAGGGTCTCGAATTAGATATAGCACATCGTACATAACAAATATGATAATACGCTCGGCTAGCCCGAAGGGAGTTTGGCTTTGGACGGTTGGTAGGGGAATGGGGTTTCGGGTTATGAGCCAGGTTAAACGGAATCATTAATAATCGGAGCTAACTAATCTGCCTGTCGCTATGAGCACACTTGTTTCACTCCTGTTTTTATTAGACCCCTCCAACAACTCTGAATAACATTTTATTCCTGATGCACCGCTGAAAAACAGAACGAACAGAGGCGGGACAAATCAAGTTTCGAGTCAACCATTCGATCAATCGTAAAACTTAGTTACCTAGAAACACGACACTTGTTTGCTTATACAAACATGTCTCACCTTTTCTTTTTTCTCTTGTTCTCCTTTCAGCTGTACGAGATCAACGACGACCCAAAGCGGAAAGAGTTTCTCGATGATTTGTTCAGTTACATGCAGAAAAGAGGTGAGTTTTTTCATCTTTTTATGTTTCTAATCGGTCAAGGAATCGTGGCACGTTAATTAATTTAACAATTAAGAGTTCCAAATGTGTCTTACCACGCGTGTCCTTTTCTACTGCGACAATCGACGCAGTAGAAACAGCCGTACATGGCACGGCACGTACGACGTTGATCAAAAAATGAAATGCAAAATCTGCAGATAAAATTTGCATGAATAAACAAGAAAAGTGTATCGTTCTTCGAAGAAAAACACGCACGAATGACACCGCGTCGTTTTCATCGAATAATCCAACTCGTCATTTATTATCGTCCGATCGACGAATCATTGGAGGAAATTAATTCCGCAAATATTGATCGTTCAGTTCGATGTCCAAGGCCGGATTCACCGACAGGAATTCTGTTCATAGAAGAGAACGAGTTTCCGATTTGTCTCCATCTAGGAGGCGAAGACGTATCGCGATCTTTCTTGGCACGTTGTCACGTTCCAAGCAGAGCCACGGTTTTCTCATCATTCGTGCCCGTCCACCAGACTGTCTGCGTATCTTGAAAATGAATCGCCAAATTTAACTCTGGACCACCTACGTTTCTTTCCATACGAAATTGTACTTTTCGCGTCTCGCTCGAGTCGTGCGTCTGATAAACTGTATCGGCCACGGATGACCGAAAGCTAAGCGAAAGCTCGTTAACGTGGGAATCGAAGGTGGATTGTGAATGAAAAAGTCATTCGACGTTTCGTTCGCGTGGAAACGAATACCTGTCGTCTATATTTAGCCGCACACCTGTCGACAGCCGCTGCATTGTCGGACGACATTATTTGCATGGTCGCGAGCAAACTTTGGAAACTGTGCCAAGGTATTTAGAATTCGGTGAACACTCATGGTCGTGTCACCATCGCGATTTCTATCTCTTAGGCGCAACGAACTCTCAAATTGATTCAATTGATTTTCTTCTTACTATCTTCGCTTCTACAAAGGGGTTTCGACTGTTCGTGCTTTACGTAACACAGTGTATAGCTTTTATTTGATAAAAAAAAAGGAAAAGACGTTTTTACGATCAATATGAATATGCATATTGTAATGTTATTAATTATTATGATGCACAATAAAAAATCAAGAGAATAATTTATATTCGTGACGCGCTTGCAAGTGGTAATCGTGGTCGCGAGGAAGGTCCGCGGATAGAAAGCGCGCGCGTTCGAGGAGGGTTCGTTTGGCCGTTGCGAAAATTACGAAGCATTATTCACGCTGTCCGCGAGGACGGCGGTTAAAAGGCGGCGCACACGTGCGACCCGCATCTCGTTTCCTGCACACGTGGATTCTCGGGACGTTTCGCGCCTATACCCGCCGTCCGAGCGCCTCGTAAACGTCCACGTGGGTTAAAAGATTCGATAACACGTTGCATCTGCCCCCGTTAAATGGGACGAAATTAGATCTCAAAGTCTAGGTTTCGTGGACATAGAAACAATGGAAATTACTAATAAAAAATCGTTGTACGACGGGTTAAGTCGTTCTAATATTAATTCCGATACGATCGATATAGGATGTTGATGCTTGAGCTCGGTACGATGAGCTTCGAAACAAAGTTAATGAAGCATCAAGAAATTAGTGTGTCAATGGAGTGAAGCGATGTTCGACGGGGTTAATTTGAGCCGCGAGATGACCATTGAAACGGAACCTCGATAACAAACACCTATCGTCGATGGTCTCGACTAATGTGGCCGGATATGATGAATGGTCTTGCGCATCCTAGGACGTGGCCAAGGTGTTATGAATCGCGTTAACGTCGAATCATTGTTCGCCTCGACAGAATAACGAGCTCCGCGGGGGGTTGCTTCCCCTGCCTTTTTTCCTTTCGAGCTTCTTCCCTCTGATACGCTCCTTTATTCTCTGATACGTTCGTCGTAAGCTTCTTTCTTTTTCCACCAACGATTTTAATCGAACCTCGTAAAGAGCGCATCATCGAACGATCAATCGACGCTAATTGCGAATCGCGTACCACCTGTGAGCTTCGTTTTTGAAATACGATCCACTTTCATTTCTATCCTCTATTTCTTTCGACGTTATCCGTATTTCGGACGATTATTTATTATTTATTATCAATAAAGATGGAGCGAAACAGCGGTCAAAGAACATGAACATTGTTTTCCAACATTGGTCGGAAATAAGAGGTAGACGCGAAGAGGAGTCACTCGCAGTGTCTATTCGAGAGGGAGGCAACAGTTCTTTTATTTATCGCGCGTATTGCTAGCACCTCTTCGACTCCGACCTGGGCGTTATAAATCTCAAGCCATTTAATATGCAAATCCCTGCACCTCCGACAGCCCGAGGACTCCCCTTGGTTGAAGGTGGTGTGTGCCTTTTTTTTCTTTTTTTCTTTTTCATCGCGAACGAGTTTCAATCGCCGATGTAATTCATACTGCGGCGGACAACTGCTCGCCAGAGCAATGCCATTCTCTGTCGAATACGTTATTATCTTACTCCTCTTCAAGCTCCACCTCTTCTTCTCGTCTTCGTCGTCGTTTCTCCTTCATCCCTGGATGTTCACGGGCGGCCGGTTACGTTCTCACCAGCCTCTACCTTCTTAATGATATCCGTTCAATTTCATCGAACACCGATAAGACGCTTTCGCGATACAATATCTCACCCTGCCAGCCTATAACTTCTTTATTTTCAACATCGTTCCGGTTAATTATTCCACCTCTCGCATATAAAAGAGAAATACGGAGGATTTTTCATAGCTTTCAACTGCGACACCGAAAAGTGTTAAAGCGTAATCACCCTAATTCTCGTCGAATTACGAGGTGTCGCTTTGAGAGATTACCCCGTCTCTGGCGTAAGAGGGTTAATAGGCTGGCTAAAAGTGCATTGAACCGGGTATGGTCATGCGTCTGGTTACGAGCTCTTCGAGAAAAATACCTTTTTACCCAGGACGGGGGTAACGCATTAGCGGTGAGAACACGTGTTCGGCACGAACACTTTTCGTTACACACTTGTGAACAGGCACGTCGTGCGTGCCGTCTGCGTACACAACGGATTACATAGGTTACTCGCCTCTTTGCCGCTCTTCTCGCACGTTGCTCTTTTCTTCGCGATAAAACTCTATACTTTGTAGCTGTTCGCCAGCTATCACGGTCGACGGAGTTTACGTGGCCGTTCGAGAAATAGGAAAAGCACGAAGTGTTAAGCTTTTACGCGACGCGTGCTCCTCACGATTATTTCCTCAGCCTTGTTCACTTTTTCCAATTTGCGACCTCGTTTTAAATTTATATACCTGCTATTTTTTCATTCTTTAGTTTCTAAATATGAATTTGAATTTGCCTTTAGAGCTACCTAATAACAGGTACCCTTCTGATTAGGCGTTCAATCGTGCCAGGTAGCAGCAGATTTCCATTGAAAATTGGTTTTAAGGGTATCGTGATGCACCACCGTTAGCTTTCAGAGACTCGTCCCTCTTCCATCGAACGAACTCGCGACAGCGTCCACATTTAACTACTCGGAAGGCTCCTTTCGCATTTCCATTCTGCAACGCGAACGAGTCGACGACGTGATTTGTCAGTTTGCGATTTCTTTTCTCTTCCACCCCTCACACCCGTTCGTTTTCTTCTTTTTTTATTATTATTATTCGGTATTTGGTGCCGGGAGCACGTTCGTACTTAACAGCGTTGCTCGATAACTGCGCCTCGTCACGGCACACTGCGACTAGTTCGAATATGTTCACTTCACGTTACCAGCAACAACAATAAGAAAAAGGCGAATTAACTTGTCGTGAAAAAATATACGTAGCTCGATCGAAAGCTACGAAAGTTTTTCAAAAGTTAACGCCAGCGAACGGGAACGAAAGGCAACGACGAAACAGAGGAATGGTTTCTTTCTCCCTCTCGGAGGCTTTATTACGTAATAAATATTAAAATTCATACGGGTTGCACCTCTACCGAGAATCGATCTTCGAACGGTCGAAAGGGACGGCTATAAAACGTCTTGAGAGAAGCGAGGGAGAGAGAGATACTGGTCTGTGCCGAAAGGCAGTTTCTCTCGTACACCACGCTATTTTACTTTTATTCGAGCAGATCCATTCCAGAGACGGTTTACGATCCGCTACAGTACCATCTTGCCGAGCTTCTTTGTGAGACAGCAGTCATACGTGAAAGTAGATTGCTCCGTATCTACCCCTTGGTAATCCACTGGATTAATTAACTCCTTGCACCTTGGAATCACCTGGCAATAACATCTTTCCTTAAAATTGTTCAAAGTCGTCGCTTTTGATACTTTATTTCATTTGCTTCCCCTCAGTTAGACTCGAAGACTGTTTCTTTCTTTTTGTTGGAGCTACTGCAGTCAAAGGGTTAATAACGCGTTGACACGCTCGGCGTTAGGAACGATGAAGGGTTTCGAACAGCAAAGGTGCAGAATAACCTGCATTAATCTATACGAAGCAACCTAGGTAGCTTTCAGCTCGTCAATTTTTCATCATCCAACAGGATAACTCCATCCGCTCCATCCGCTCAGTTAGAGGATAGCATCGAATCGATGAGGATAAGGAGAAAATCTCTAATTCCTTTCGTGTTTACCAATTTGTTCCGTTTTGTTTTGAAACAGCCCGGTGTCTACCTTCATTCGTATCCCCGCTGGCCCCGGTCCCGCTGTCGTTTTATCGCGTTTACGACCTTGTCGAGCAAATGTACGAGCCATTCGTGGACGTTCGACGACGACGGACAAAGTCAATTCAGCTTGTCCATAAACACCCATCCACGGTTACCTCCATAAAACGAAATAAAGTCCTAGCGCAGCAGCACATCGTCAAGTCCCGGTCGATGGGCGGACTCTCCCTGTTCCCGCGAGTGATGGATTTCCTCTTTGACGGATCGCTCGTAAAGCTCGTCTAAATGTTTTCTCGGAAACAGCCAGACCACGAGTGAGAAAGAAAGAGAAGCAAATACGAATTTTCAGCTTCCCTTTCCCTTCACCTTTTGCCCGGCTACCCACCCTTCGGCCTTGTTCGATCACGG